TTCTACTTTAAGTTTATCGAAATATGAGCAGTTTGATAGGAACATGTTGTGGACGTGCCAACTGTTACAAAGGGATCAAAGGGGAATCGTATGAGGCACTCACGTGCATTTCGACGTCGGATTCCTGTGAGTATATGTAACCGTTGTCGTACGTGTTGCCGGATTGAACGTGGCGCATGTTGTAAGTCTCGGGCACGCTGTGCGCCAGGTGACGGTCCAGCTCGTCCGGGTCACCCAGAATCTTGGTCGGTACGATCGGAGCGTGGCTGCCGAGCGCCTGAAACGCCGATTCGATTGGCATTTTTGGCTCGAATCTCGCATCGCCCAGCTATTCCCAAATTCCGACGTTTTATTCCGAACCCTTTGAAACTCTCGCAATAGAATTTTTCATCTTTCTACAGTAGCGTGCATTTCGAATGAATAGAAACGTCGGACAAGCGTAATTCGGTTTCAAAGGGATTCAGTTTATTTCTATGTTATACGTGTTTATAAATTTTGCTTGTCCATCTAGTAACAACGTTTGGAGCGACGTCTCCGTCCCAAGTAGACAAAAGGGAACCCCTATGGCGAAAGTACACTTTGTAACATCGTTTCTCGATATTTACTCTTTGCAGCTCTTCTATTTAACAGCATACTTAAAATAAAATGGTTCGGAAAACCATTCGACCCAACACGCATATTTCTGGTGAATTTAATAGACGACGTGGACGCTCCGTCATATCGCGTCGCTTTGGAGTCAGTCTCCTTGAGACAGAATGACTCTCGAATGCTTTCAATTCTATAATGCATCCCGGGAGTAAAAGACGATCAATTATGAGAGTATTTACCGTGCAAACGGCCCGAGCCGATGATTTAATGAAAACGGCCGGCGCCATTCAATTAAAGGGAATTTCGATCGAGCTATTTCATTAGACTTTCCCAGCTAAGCAATCCGGGGATCGAGAATGTTGGGAGACGACTGGCTAATACAATAAATACTGTTTGCGAGACTGAATCAACTAAACGACGTTTAACGTAGTAATCGCCAGAACTCACTGTCGTATATGTATTATATATGTAAAGTAATATATGTATTATTTTGCTTATTCCATACGTTTTGCGCGCGGTTAATCGTCAGGTGAATAATTGAAGTCATTAAAAACAAAATTATAGTGACTTCAAATTTGCATGTACTTTTATCGTAATCACTTTTCCCGTAAGTAATAGCAGTACCTACAACTTTTATTTAAAGCATTTGTCGATATTTTGACAAAAAAAAAATTTTCGATTTTTACAAGATTTTTCCAAGGGGTACCCCTTCAATTTCTTCCAAATTTTCGTTTTTGGCCAATAACTCCTAAACCGTCGGTCCTACGAAAAAATTGCATCAGACCTTTCTTGTAGAGGACGACGAGATCTATAATTTCCATGTAAAAGTTTGTCGCTAGCGTCAACAGTTTAAGAGTAATTTGCGAAAAACTGTTTTTTCGTTTTTCGTCAATAACTCGTAAACTATTAATGCTAGCGACAAACT